CGGCTTCCAAAACGTCTCTCTTCTGGTCTGAATGTGGAATGATACAAACAGCCCCTTCGCCTGCCTCCCCGCCCCTCCCCTCCTTTGACTGTTTGGGTTCTTTACACCAGCCAAAATCCAGTTAGCTCTCTTAAAGGCTTCAGTAATATGCTGAATTACTCCCTGCTTGAGTTTAATGGAGTTAAATGAGCCTGAATGATGGCAACAGTTTTAGCTGTCTAGCACGTGGCTTATTAAAGACGGTAATTGCATTTGAAAAGGAAAGACATTTCCTGGATCCGCAGGAAGAAAATCAAGAGAGCTTCTCCCCTGAAACTGGAATCTACCTAGCTTTTTGGCATCCTGTGGGACACTGTAGATCAACATCCCTTGGAAAAATGGAATTGGCCTTGGGAGAACTGATTGAAATTGCTGGAAAAAGTAGACCCCCCCCCCCATCCCCGATTTATCACAAAGTGAGATTTGTAGAGAATGGCCCTTGCAGGACACCTTTTCTTTATTTTTATCTTCTGGGGCCATCTGAAGATCTCTTGCTTGGAATGCCAACTTTTTTTTTTAAGAAAGAAGGAAGGAAGACTTAGTAAGGACAGAGACAGTGACAGCTGAGAGTTTGGCCAGAGAATAAACGGCTTTGTTTTCCTTCTGCTGACTTGAAACTGACATCAAAACAAGTACAAGAATGGCTTTAGGAGTGAAAGCTAAAAACAAAAACAAAACTCCAAACTCTACCCAGCAATGAATGAACTCTCCTCTTCCACACCCCCATGTTTTCATCCAGATCTAATTTATTCTCTTTATGGTCACTATTTCTGTCTTAAATTGGGGGGGGGGCAGGGCGGGGAGGAGGGTTATATTTTAGGCTCTATAACATTTTTTTCATCTTTCACAAACTACCTTAAATATATTTCCATGGCAATCAGTCTCCTTAACTGATCTGGGCAAATCGATCCACTAAAAATCAAGGAACCATATTCCCTGGTAATTAGAAAAAAGCAAATAAAACTCTACTCCATAAAATATGCAGGTGCGCGTGGCTGTAAGGATACTTATAGGCACATGCATCTACTTACTCTCCAACTCCTTTGATTAAGAGTAAAGGTCATATATGGATTGATTTTTCCCCCCACTAGAAGCGGTAGGCATTAGCCAATAGAAGTTTGTGCTCTTCTTAGTATGCTGTGCAATATAAGGGAAGAAATGAAGGCGTGCAGCCTTTTTTTTTTTTTTATTAGCCAGGCTTTTAGCA